TCTATTTTCGGTTCCATCCTTTTCTAGTAAAGACATAACTTATCGAGATTTCTTCATTATTTCATTTTTCAGGTACCTGAAACTCTTCTAGAGTTGTATTATTAGTTATATCTTGGGTCTCTTCAATAGTACCCGCCTTCTCTATATGACCATCTTATACTACTTTTCATTTACGAGAATTTTTAACCTCGGAACTAATTCAACTATCATGCTATGGACATGGTTTACATTCTTTTTGCTCTAACAATGTTATTCTTTTAGGATTTCAATTCAAATTTAGAGCATTTTCAACTGGTATATGAGATTTGATTACTTTCATTAGGTCAGTAAATATTTCTGGCAGTTAACTTATAATGAATTATCTTACGAACTTCTGGTTCACAACACTATGTACAAGGATCTAAAATGATAATTTATTTATATTTTTATACAACTGATTCTTCTCTCCCCCTGATGAAAAATAATTGAATCTTAAAGCATTCAATAAAGTGAGACTCGTATTCAATATATATATACACACATATACATATAGTCCCAATTTACTTCAAATATCAATTTATGTGCATTTATGGTGGATCAATATAAACATATAATGCACAACTAAAAATTTTATAAATTGAAAAATATATGGCTTCTGACCATAAGCCAATCATAAGGAGCAATATAACTTATTAGTTTGATGTATAATAGTTTTATATTCACATATAGATACTAGAACTTTTGTTCTCGTAGTTTAGCTATTGAAAGGAGGCAATAAATAAAATTTTTGCCAAACTATTTATTCATAAACAATAGGCTTTGTAACAGTTATCTCAACTGATATAAAATATACTCTTTAAAAGCCTGGAATGTAAACTCACTAAGTTAACAAGACGAATAGCCTTGATTGCATAATATGAAATATTTACTTTTCTAATACAGTAAATAATCTCACAAACTGTAGGTTGTGAGTTGATAACATATGTGTGATTTATCTTGTAGATGCATATACTGGAATCATCTAAAAAAATTCACTTTGTGGATAAATGGGCCCATATTTCAATCAAATATGTAAGAAGTTCACTCTCAACTTTAACTACTAAAGTTCTAAATTCCTTTTGAGAACAAATAACACAAGAATTTCATGTTCTTTAAATTTATGCAAATATCAATAATTTTCGTATCATTAATGATTGGGATGATCTAACCAATCATGCCAATCATGCTAAATTTATGCTATCTCAAATCGTCATTTAAAAGTTGCATACAACAATTTAAACTTATTTAATTATTGGTGAAGTATACCTACACTGTTATACTGTAATATAGTTTTAAAATAATCGGAACAAGAAAAACAAAAGATTAAGAACAAGGGGAGAGAATTGTATTATTATCTCAATTTGAGTTGTGTACAATGATTTCGCTGAGCTCTGTATTTATAAGCATAAGGAGTAGATATCATGTAGAACTTTAACTCTAATTTACATTAAAGTCATAATAGTAAAGTATATAAAAACCCTATCTTACAGATAGAGATAAAAGATAGAGATAGACATCCACGTAAATAAATATTCATAACAATTATATTTAAAAACCTTAATTTATCTAAAATTACAAAAAAAAACTCAAATCTCTAACTCTAACCTTACCATCTCCATTGTCAACCACGACCATGGCCACTGATGTCGTCCTTACCATCTCTCTTGTCAGACTTCGACAATCGTGACGTCAATATGGCTATCAGGATCACGTGGTGTCACGAATTAAAGCTTTGTTCTTTGTGGGGGCCACGTGGTTCATCGGTTCCATTTTTGGTTCGTTCGCTCATTTTTTGGTGGTTGTTTGTTGGGTGAAGGTGTGGTCAGGTGGAGGTTCAGAGACGCAAAAGCTGGCAGCCGACGTGAGTTTATGGATTGAAATTAAGATTTTTAGGGTTTTGGAGTTTTTTTAAAGATTCTTGAAAATTTTGGACTTTTTAAATAAAATTTTAAAAATAATTTTAATTTTTTTATTTTAAATATTTTTTTTAAATTATATAACGTGACACATGTCACTTAAAAAATATTTTAACAGCTATTACGGTTAATACACTTAAAATGATAACATTTATAGAGTTAGACACCTAGATTGATCGAAAAAAGTTTAGGCAACTAAATAAAAAAAAGGTATAATTTGAACATTTTTTTATATTAAACCTTGTTACATAAAAATTATTAGTTGATTAACGATTAACACATAAAACATGTGCTATGTCACCTAAAGTGATGACATGGTAAGTGTTATGTCATCTAAATTAATGATATATTATGTGTCACGTCATTAATTAAATACATATAAAAATATCAAATCAATAATATATGATGATCTAATGATCGTTAGTCAGGTATAACTTTTCATTTAATAATGAGTGGTTTTGATCAAAATTAAAATACTCTAAAAATAAGTTAGAGATAAAAATAATTATTTATGTATTATTACAAATTAATCAATTTTAAAGAATGCCAGTTAAAAATATCACATCAATAATATATGTTGATGAAATGTTCGTTAGTCAAGTACAACTGTTCATTAATGTAATGATGGTCATTAGCAATCTAGATTATAAAGATAAGTAATCAATCGTATCGAGTTGAATTTTTTTAAATTATTGAGTTTATAAGTATTATTTTATTATCTAAAATTTATTTAAACTTATTCAAATTAAATCGAGTTTAAGAAATTTGATTTGAATTATATTTATTTAAGAGTATATTCAAGTTTAAATATAATTATTTATAATATTATGGTTATAATTGGTTCTAGTTTAAACAACTCTTCAAGTCATGCTTAAGTGGGATTTGTAATGATATTTTGTAAGCCAAATATCATATAAATTATATAATATATTTATAACATTAGTTTTAAAGAATGAATTTTGAGGATTAAATATTAATAGAAGTGTGAAATGGTTAGAGAATTGATGAGAATAAATAACTTTTAAAGAGTTGCATTCATAGGATCAAATTGAATAAAATATAGAATTGATTTATTAGATTAAAAATTTATCTTAAAAAGAGGAATTTAAGTTATACATGTATTATATAGTAGTCGAGAAACATGTGATTCAAATTTGATAAAAAATAGACATAAAACAAAGAAAAATTGAAGAAATAAGAAAAAAAAAATCAAATTACATAGCTAAAGATCAAAACGAAATCATTTTAATTTTTGAAATTTTATTTATTTGAGCTTTATATATTCAAATTCAATCCAAACATGAAATTTAAAACAAAAATTTGAGTTGACTAGAGCAAGTCGATTCGATTTTGAATCCAATCGAGTTTCTCTCGCCCTTAAACGATGATGCATTATCAAAAACAAAATTAATTTTAAGAGTTTTTTATGCAATTAGTTTTAAGAGTTTGTATTAAAATATCATTATCTGATTATTGACGATATATAAATTTATGCATCGTCAATGTATCGAATATTAATTCAAAATAGAATTCAGATATAGTAAATTATTAATCAATCTTGCCATTAGATCTTAATTCAATTAAATAATTATTGTTGTAATTTATCATAATCATTCAATAATTGAAGTTAATGACAAATAAATGTAAAATATTTAAAAGAAACGTATTATCCACTTGAGTATATTCCATAATTAATTAGTTAATTTGGATCATTACAACCGAAAGTGAGAATTGTCGAATACGATGAGAAGAAGCGACACAACAACTCCACGTTGGCCTCATCAGATTCTTTGCTTTGTAATTCTCTATGCTTGGGTTGATTCAATTTGTCAGATTCCACAATTTATTTATTTTTAATGCTTAATTACAAAATATTTCAAATTATATTTCATTCTCATTATTATTAAAAAACCCTTAAAATTTCTTTAAAAATCTCAAAAGAATTTAAAATTCTTAATCTTAAAGCATAAATTTTAATCGTCAATTGTTCCCTATCAGACGCCTACCATCCGTCATTGACGACTAATCCCTTTGTCATAGCCTCAATCCCCTAAATCTATAATTTTTTAAACCAAAATCTTAAATTCCTAAATCCCAAGACATGCATCACTAAATTTTAATAAATAAATAAGCGGTTAGCAGGTGAGCGGATGATTGTTAGAGGTGATGGTGATCAGCGATGAGATTAAAGGGATAATTTAGAGTTTTATGAATTTTAGAGTGTTCTCTTAAAAATAAGAAAAATTCAGATTTTTAAAGAAATTATAAATTTTATTTTTTTTAAATTAAAAGAAATTAAAAATTAAATCAATTGTTAAAGAATGATTGATTGACTAACTTTTAATATATTTTTTAGTGTTCGTGATTGATTAAACACTTAAACTGATATCGTTAGAGTATAAAAAAACTTTAAGTTAAATTATATGTTTAATACTTAAATTTTTTGTTTTGGTCGTTTTAGTATTTAAATTTTTATTTTTTTAAAAAAATCATAACTAAAGTTTAATTTTTGTTTCATTTTGATATTCTGCCGTTAAAATCTTTAGTTTTTATTTTATTTTAGTTCCTTCATTCAAAATTTAACGTTAAATTTTGAAAATTTAAAAGTTTAGATACTAGAAGGACCAAAACTGATAGTTTAAGTATTAAAAATATTAAATTTTTAACAAAAATTACTAAAATAAAATAAAAACTAAATATTATGTATGTTTTAAAAAATTTAAAAATTTAAATATCAAAATAAATCAAAACTGATAAATTAAATATTAAATACGTAGTTTACCCAAAACTTTAAACGAGAAAAGAAGGCATGGTTTAGGAACTTTTTGATATTAATTTTTTTAAATTTCATTTTTCCAACAAATAATCAAACGGCTCATATCCAATCTGACTACATGGTTACTTTATCAACGGAGGCACACGAATATATATCCCCCCTTCCCAAACAGTTGGTCTATAGAGACTGAGGAATGAAAAATAAATGAAAACCACGCTTTGTGCAATGTGCAGGACAAAGGCATCAAATCATGAATTATTATTAATATCCAATTATGAAAGATACGAAATTTCAAAAGAAAAAAAGGAATTATGAAAGATAGGAAGAGAAATACACTAAATTAAGCAAAAAGGAAGAGAGAGCACACCACTCTCATGTAGGTAGGGGCTAAGCAAGCAAAACCAAGGCCAATACAGTAACCAAAAGTGAAACTTTCCTTTCTCCCTTCAGATACCATTTGCAGCGGAGGAAGGAAACGGCGGCGGCGCTTTGCTTCTGGAGATGACTGCGGTCGGAGAGAAAGGGGATGAAGGAGGGGAAGGCGGTGGTGCGACGGTGTTGGTGGGGATCAAATTTGACGCTGACAGCAAGCAAATGTTGACATGGGCGCTCGTCAAGGTGGCTCAGCCCGGTGATCAGGTCATTGCTCTGCACATCCTTGATTCTGCCACTGGTATTATTCCTTGCTTGCCACTTTTCTCCTTTTGCTTCAATTCAACATTTTTATATGTATAATTTTTGCAACTTCTGGTGTATTTTTCTTGATGAAATCTTCATTTCTGATTCCGCCAGAGAGCCCGGCGTCGATTCTGTCTCTTGTTAAGCAATTTGATTACACGCTGGCTGTTTACGAAGGCTTCTGCAACTTGAAACAGGTAAGTTTATAATTTTCTTGTTTTTTACAGTTTTTTTTTTGTAGAAATTGAGTGATGGAAATTGGTGGGGAAAATGATTTCAGGTTGATTTGAAGCTGAAAGTGTGTAGAGGGTCATCGCTGAAGAAGAGTCTGGTAAGGGAAGCCAAGTCTTTCGAAGCAGCTAAGCTAATTCTGGGAACTACCAAAACCCATAACCCGATACAGTCGTCTACCTCTGTTGCGAAATTTTGCGCAAAAAAGTTACCCAAATGTTTCTCGGTTTACGCTGTTCAGAATGGCAAAATTGTGTTCCGAAGGGAAGCAATTGAGACAAATTCGAACAGAACCCAAGGTCGTGCTTCTTCTTTCCTTTTTTGGCTCTAATTTGTTCCTATGTCTAATTGTTGGAAATTGCTGTTTCTCATACTGAATTCTGCTTTTTCATTTATATATTTGTTTGGTTGTACAGACAATGAGTCACCAGATAAGAGCCTTGTCCGGTTAGTGTCCTTTCCGAAGAGTTCAAGAACAACTAATGGTAGTTTCCCCCGTAAATCTGGCTTGTTTGCAAGGCATAAAACGTTAAAGAAGAATTGTGAAGTTTGTGCTTCGGCCTTGCAATTGCCAGAAATTTCTAATTTCCAATCCCTGGAAGAGTTATCCGGAAATGGCAGTGTAAGTAATAAGCTAGATTTGATACCGTTTCGAACCAGTGAGGGTAATGATGTTCTGGTTAGAAAGTTGCCAGGTTGGTCTCTTCTCCGCCGGGCGCTTTTACCTAAGCGGCATCACTTGGAGAATTCTTCCGCAAAGAAATCTGTCGACCAATGGGTGTTAAGATTACCAAGCCAGCATTCCTCAGCTGTTGTTTATCCTGATCTAAGGCAAAACCGTTCTGATCGAGAAAAGAATCATTCTTTTGATTTGGACGGAGTAACTGGTGCAATTGTGCCGGTTGGCTGTGAGGCTATTTGTCCCCCGTCTCCTTGCAATTTTCCAAAAGAGCTGCAAAGTTTACTTGAGAAATCCTCTTCTTTGTGTAGATTATTTAGTTACCAAGAGCTTTTGGAGGCCACCTCTTGCTTCATGCCAGGTTTATTCTTTGTTAGCAGTTGATGTAAAAATCTTGAGTTTGGCTTATTTCGAATGTTCATGTCAATGATTCTTATTTTCTGATTTTGCAGAGAATATGGTAGGTAAAGGTGGCAGCAGTCATGTTTTCAGAGGGTGCCTTCCTGATGGCAAGGAACTAGCAGTGAAAATTGTTAAGCCAACTGAGAATGCAATCAAGGAGTTTGTTCAGGAAATCCAGATCATTACGAGTTTAAACCATAAAAATCTCATTTCCTTATTTGGTTTCTGCTTCGAGGAAAACAAGTTGCTCTTGGTATACGATTTCCTCTCGAGGGGAAGTCTAGAAGAGAACCTTCACGGTAAGGACTTTATCCACTTTACTACCTTTTATTTGTTGAATTGACTCTTTACTTTTCTTGAATTGGTTGTAATTTACAGTTTTCAATTTTCTTTATTTTCATAATTGACTGACTTCTCTTGTTACAAGGCAATAAGAAGGGTATCAATGCATTTGGCTGGCAGGAGAGGCATAAGGTGGCAGTTGGCTTAGCGGAAGCACTTGATTACCTACATAATGGTTGTGAACAACCTGTGATCCACAGGGATGTGAAATCTTCCAACATTCTTTTGTCCGATGATTTTGATCCCCAGGTAACACATTGAAACAAACAAGTTCGAACGTTATCTTTTTGGTTTTAAGCTTTCTTGGCTCATTACTAGCTCGTCTGCTTCTTCAGCTGTCAGATTTTGGACTTGCTAGTCGGGTCTCAAGTTCTGCATCTCATACTACCAGCATGGATGTTGCGGGAACCTTTGGGTATGTAATCTACTCCAAGTTTTTTTTTCCCAGTTTCATACTCACTTTAGATGCATGTGGTAATACTTGTCTGTGGCAGTTACTTGGCTCCTGAATACCTCATGCATGGAAAAATGAGTGATAAAATTGATGTCTACGCATTTGGCATCGTCCTCCTAGAGCTCCTCTCTGGTAAAAAGCCCATTGATGATAACTGTCCAAAAGGTCAAGAGAGCCTTGTTATGTGGGTGAGTTCATTGTTTATAAGCCCTTTAGGTATCTGCCTTATCTGTTGTAACACAGTTTAGAGCACATAAACAATGTTTATGTACTTCAGAAAAACAAGTTTATTCGAGTAGACTGCTCTCTAAATTCATTTCTGTTTCTTCCTTTCTCATAGTGTCAAAAGTACAATGCCTGATTTGATCCAGTTATTTTCCGAGTCGGTTTTTAACACTTGGTAATGCTCTGATATTAACGTCCAGGCAAAGCCAATTTTAAAGGACAGCGATTTTTCTGAGTTGCTAGATCCAGAGCTCGGTAGTAGCTACGAATGTCATCAGATAGAAAGAATGATTTTAGCTGCTACCCTGTGCGTTAGACGTGCACCACTTAAGAGGCCTCAAGTTAGCCTTGTAAGTTCACTCTCACTCGACCTTTTTTCCTTTGTCTTGCTTTATCTTTATGTTTATATTTATCTTTTCGATCTTTGTTGGACTACAGATCCTGAAGCTCCTACTGGGTGACCAAGAAGTGACGAATTGGGCACAGCAAGAAGTGAAGGAATCAGAAGAAGTCGATATTGCCGATGATGAATTATATCCTACTAACATGGAATGCCATCTTAACCTTGCCTTACTAGACTTGGAAGACGATTCACATTCCACGAGCAGCAACGATCAGAGTTTCCAAATAGAGGTTTACTTGCAAAAGAGATGGAGCCGATCACCGAGCTTTGCCTAGCCATCTCAATCCAAGCATGCGCCGTTTATGCGATCTTTTTCCCTTGTAGTTTAACCTCATGGGTGTCTTAGGGTCAATCATGTGCACCATTTGTCTATGCCCTTCCCCTTTCTTGTTCAGCTATTAGATCAGGTCTTGGAAGAGAGATTGTTTAAAAGAGCTTCCCTACCATGAGTTGTGTATTCTTTTGCCCATGATTCCCAATTTTATGCATGGGCTAGTTTTCAGGAAAAAAATAGTGAGGAACAAATGTATACTCGAAACATGCACATGATTGTAAATAAATCATTCCTTCAAGATTGTAATGTTTGTTGTTAACCTACACTTTGTTCTTTTGACATGCATAACATAAAAATCAAATTGATTCAACTCGAATTCGGCTGGATCTTTGCCTTCAATTCTTTCCATTGTTCCCACCATCGACTAAAGCTTGAATTCTTTAACATCACGTCTTTAGACACCTCTTTATTCTGGATTAACTTCATTGCGTATTTCTGGAACTTATCGATCTTGTGCCATAACCGGTTTATCTTTGTTCCATCACCTTCACTTCTTACAATTTCCAGCCACTCCCAGGCTTCATCTACCTTTGCCCAAAACAATGAATCTTGTGTCACACTAGCAAACTTACTCCTCTTGTTTCTTCAATTTGAAGGCTCCTAATCCTCCACCATTTATCAAATATTTCATACCTCCATTGTCTTCTGTTCTCGATGTAGTGCCCACGTTCATGGTACATCCCGGTCCGGTAATAGTCCGTGATGTCGAGTGGTTCGAAGAGAAGCATATAGAACCGATAAGAGTTTACCCATTTCCCCTTGTCAAAATCACGAGGCAGCTTGTTGTTTTCCAACAGGGAGATTACACTGTCCCAGAACGAAGCAAGCTTATGGCGGTTCATGTTGACTCTGGCTTCTCTTCTTGAGCCTGCCTTGCGCTTGAAGGAATCATAGTAACCCATTTGGTCATCGGCCTCATCGTAACACGCTTTGTACCACTCGGTTTTGGATCTGAAAGGAACGATCTTGGACAACCTTATTGCTAGGTTGGCAGCAGTCAGATTTGGCCTGTGATCGTTTTTACCCATTTGCAGGCACTCCTTGGCCATGATTGCTACATTTTCCCTCGGGTTCGAGCTGGTTTGCATGGAAAAGCAAAGTTATTGAACTTGAACTGGTTCCTTGTCGGTCAAGTCAGATGACTGCAATGCCAATGCCATACCGGCTTCAAAATTAGAATCAGGTAGGCCATCACCATTTTCATGAAAGCTTTTGGCCTTCAAAATCTGTTTAGAAACATTCCCTACATAGTCTCCATACATGATCCTCGATGCAACAACTTAATGAACATTGCCATCATCAAATACATCATCCGAATAATAGATGCTGCATTTTCTACACAAACGACACCCTCTCGGCTGCAAAAAACATAGCTCCCAAGAGGCCAAAACAAACTCTTTGCCGACAGATCTTCAGCATGTTTCAACACTTCCAAGTCCTTCAAAACACATTGAAAAACATTGGTTTTCAGATCTTGGGGCAGCTGAGAAGAAATGCCATCAACAATAGCATGTGAAGAAGTCATGCAGCAGTGCCAGAAATGCAGCAAGGATTGTATTGCGGGAATGTGGTTCACTGTTTCATTAAAAAGTAGTAGCCTAGGCATAATGTCGTGCTTGGAAACAACATGGCAAAAGTTTCCGCTCCATCTTTGTCGGAGAATCGATCGATGGAGGGCTTCATTGCCAAGCAAAGGAGAGCCGAATGTGATGCATAGCACCAAAATTGGAGATGACACGGTGGACTGAAGATGACAGAGCAGCCATAAAGCTGAAAGAGAGGCTGCTGAACCGCCTATGGAGTGGCCTGTGAGTACTATTGATTTCACTTTTCCTACAAGAGCTGCGATCTGCATCACCATATCAAATTACCTTGGTTGCTTCAGTGCAACTTGATTCAGATAAGATTTAAGGTGTAATTGTCATTCAATTATTAGTAAGAGTTAAATTACGAATAACTAAATTTTAGAAAGGTTTAATTAATCGAATTTTACAAACAAGTTACTTTATCTTTCAAAAGGAATAAAATGTTAACTTTTTAGTCATAACCAGGTCACCCAGTTTATTGATTATTATAATCGAGTCCCTTAACTGTAACAAGGAAGTTAATGTATTTTATAGGCTTAATGACAGAATGATCTATTTATAATAATCGATTAGTTGTTTAAATTATTTATAAATATTAATGATTTAAAAATTATATTAAATTATTTCAAATAATATAATTTATAATCACACTAAATACTTGACGTTTAATTTTTTTTTAATTGTTATAACGTAGGAAGGTAAATAATTAACGTCATAGAGATGGAGGCATTTCAGAGCATCCTTAGAATCAATGAGACGCACAACCTGAGCACAATCAGATTGAATTTCCAATTTGGGAACACGGTAAGTCCATGCCAGACGAAGACCCTCATAGATACCCCAGAGTTCGGATTGAAGGACAGAGGAAATACCAAGATGCTTGCTAAATCCAATGATCGAAGAGCCCTCAGTGTCCCGTAACACACCACTGGCAGAGCCTATCGAGTTCTCAGTAGAAACCCCGCCATCACAATTCAAGCAAGACCATTTCTCAGGAGGTCCCCGTCAACCGGTAGAACCGCGAGCATTTGTCGGACTTGGAGACGCAATATCAAAGCAACACGCCCAGCTATATGCATGCTGAAAAACAGCACGCAGTGGACGAGAGATGCCACTAAAAGTTTCCTCATTCCGATGTTTCCAGAGTTGCCAGATAACGGAAGCAAAGAGGGAAGACCAAGAAACTTCATATCCAGGAGGAATGGATGAAATGGCCAAATTAGACAGAAACCATGGAACAAGATCTGAATATAAGAAATTTTCGGTACGTTAGTTTTAATATACGTACCTAAATTTTCGGTCATAACTATGTTCTCCGTCTTTATGGATGTCTTATGTACGTTAGTTTTAATATACGGCTAAGGAAAATTGTTATTAGAAATGTTAATATTTTTTTAATATTTTCGGTAAAGCGTTACCTAAAATATTATTTTTTCTACCGAAAATGTTAATATTGGACGCTACCTAAAATGTTTAACATTTCTGGTAAAACGCTACCTAAAATATTATTTTTTCTAACGAAAATATTAATATTTGGCGCTACCTAAAATGTTATTTTTTTTACCGGAAATTAGGTAGCGAAATTAACGTTGTCGGTAAAAAATAATGCTAAGTAACGCTTTACTGAAAATATTAAAAAAAATATTAACATTTCCGGTAGGCTTTTCCTTAGTCGTTTTAAAGTTGTCGTACAACAGAACTACCCCATCATTATATACACCTCAAAAGACAAAAAAGTAATTGAGCAAAGGAAAAAGAATATTAGGGGGAAAATAATAGCATTTTTTGTTAGATTAAATTTCATGGGAACATATTTATAATATGTATTATTATCATAAAATATGACATAAATTAAGTAACCGATTATGTTATAAAGTCATAATGTATTAGAAGTATCATGTAAATAAAAGTATAGATATTATTAAAGTTGTATTTATAATTCGATGAGAGACAGAGTTATAAGTACAGACAATAATCGATTCTTAAATCAGTTATATAAAAGAGTTATGATCCCCAAGATATAGACATTCTCGTATTTACTCTTATTCCCATAAGAGAGTTTATACTCAAGGGAACTCTGTATTCTCGGAGATCACAACCAAAGAAATATTCAAAGATTTCAACCTATCAATTAATTCAGGTACGCTTCCGCATCTAGTATTTTATTCTTGATGATTTGGCATGATTAGATCCTGATTGTTGTTCATATTTATTGTGATTCCGGTTCTAACAAGTGATATAATCGGCTTGTCAAGTTGAATCATTGATAATTAATTAATTTTAGGGTTTATGATATTTTATTTTATTTTTGAATCGCATACAAAATTTAGGGATTTTCTTTTTCTTCTACGATCGGTATTCCCGATTGTTATTATTAATTCTATTGATTCGGGTTTCAATTTTTTGCTTAATTGATGAAGGCAAATATTTTTTTAAAAAAATTTGTGCGTTAATTCAGTTTGTGCCTCAACTTTTTGATTAAGATATATGCACATTCTCATATATCTTTTCTTAGAAATTAAGAATTATGTTTTTAATTTTTTTTATTGTGTAGCTTTCAGTATACGATCGATTAATTTGGTCATTTGTATTATATGTTTATTTCCTAAAAAACATGCCATTAATTGCATAACTTCGATTTTGATTTTGGATTTAATTTGGGAATATTGTTATTGTCTCAATACGTGATTATTTTTTTTAAAGAGGATACTTTGTATTAAGATGAATAACAAAATATACCACCTCAAGGATCTTATTAAAAAACCTCTCTAATATTAAATGGGGGAAAAATAGTGTACCCGGGGTGGTAGAGAACAAATACTTTGTAACATCATTCATAGGGTTGTTCATTCGGTGGCCGAACTGACCGAATTACCATTAACTAAATTAACCGAACTTTTTTTTCGAAAATATTAATCGAACCGAATAAATTTCGGTTAATTTGGTTAATTTTCGAATTAACCGAAATTTTTTAAAATTTTCTAATTTATATAAAAATTAAATATTTTATAATTCAAAAAACAATTTATAATTAATTTAAATAATTTAAATAATATAAAATTATAAAATAATAATTTTATATAAAATTTTTTAATTAATTAATATTATTTAGGTTTAAAAGTTATTGGATCTTAAATTATTAATTGGGTTTTAAAATGATTTGGGTTGAGCCTATATGTTATATATAATATATTTAATATTTTTTAATTCAGAAAAGCAGTTTACAATTAATTTAAATAATATATAATTATAAAATAAAAATTTTATATAAATTTTTTAATTAATTAATATTGATTTAGGTTTAAAAGTTATTGGATCTTAAATTATTAATTGAGTTTTAAATGGTTTGGACTAAGCCCATATGTTATATATATAATATATTTAAAATTTAAAATTTTATTTCGGTTAATTAGGTTAATTAACCGATTTCGAACCGAATTAACCGTTAACCGAATATCCAAAAAAACCTTAACCGTTCTCCGACCGAACTAATTCGGTGGCCGACCGAATTAACCGAATTAGTTCGATTCGATCGGTTAATTCGGTTAAAACTGAATTTTGAACACCCCTAATCATTCAGACCATACCCACGCCCTACCACAATCACCAATCCAACACATAATAAAACCAACACAGACAACCAACAATATGAATAGAGGACACA